CATCCCTATAGAGTGCTTTACCCAATTGCTTCTGGAGGTATTTTCTCAATCTGCTCCTCGTTCAGGTCACACAGGAAAATCCCACCAATTTGCTGAAGCAAGGGCCCTGTTAGGTTGCCCCCCAACTCCAGGAACCTTGCGATCAGCTGCTGCTTCTGGAAAACACAGTTCATGCATTGCGTGCTTCGAGAAGAGGAAAATGTATTTGGCAGAAACGCACTACAAAACCCCTGTGCCTTGGGCTCCAGGAGATGGGGGGGTGAGCTCCCACAGGAGCTGGGCACAGACATGAGCGCAGAGCAGCCCTCGTTTGGGCTCTCCTGCATCTGTCCCTGTGCCCCTTGGTACCTGGGCGCTGCTCCATTTGCCATCTGAGGGGTTGAGCAGGGCGCAGAGTGTGTCTGCTGAGGTCACCTGCCACTGGCTGAGCTCCTGCACTGTGTAGAGGCGGGACAGCGGCCCCAGCCTCCGGAGCTGGGCATCTGGCATCCCCGTGGGGTACACCTGCACTCAGCAAAGAGGGGTGGGGAAGGCAGGGATGCTTGTGGTGTCTATATTAAAGTAAGAATTGACTTCCCCATCCCAAGTAGTTGCACCGCTGCTCGTGCCCTGTGAACCAACCCCTTACCTCCTGTAGCCTTTTTTTCAGCACCCAGAGATACTCGGTGGTGAGTGGCTGCTCCAGCACATGTTCTAGGTCTGTTTGCAGAATGCTGTCGCTCAGGCAGAGGTAGAACTGCTCGGGGCTTTCATAGTCGAGGAGCAGGATGCTCTCAGAGAGCACACGGGTGGTGATGGGCTCCTGCATGCAGCCTGCAGGCGGGGAGGGTGCATTTGGGGCTGGCATCTCTTGGTCTGCGCTCCGCTTTGGCCGGGGGTGTGATGCTGCTGCCATGGCTGTCAGCAGGGTCAGGGACTGCTGCCGCTGCTCCCATCCCTGGGTGCTGTAGGTGGCTGCGATGCTCCTGGCAAATGCCTCCCGTGCTGCCTGCCAGGGAGGGCAGAGGAATCTGAGTTCCTCAGGATGCTGGGCCCCATGCCTGTGGGCTGGCCCGACATATGGGCCATTTAGGGTTGGCTCACCTTATCCACCAAGCTCAGCGTGGTCTGGTTCAAAGCCAGTGCAAGTGGCCCCAAATGTTGCAGAGTCTCCAAATCCCAGCCTGAAGGATGTCTGCAAAAAGCACAGCTCAGCATTCTGAAGGGAACACCTCCCCTCCTGCCCACCGCTGGGCTCCTTACCCATATACTGTACTGCCCCTGAGGAGCACAGCATTGACAGCATCCTGCTGGGCACCCGTCAGCATGGGGCAGAGTTTCAGGTGCTCCAGGATACTGGGGTGCAAAGCAATGATGGTGCCTGGTTCCATGGTGCACACCAGCACCCCGAGGCTGTGACAAAGGAGGTGGATGACAAAGAGATGGGTGACAAATGGAGCATGGCAGAACGCAGGCACGAATGTGCCCTAGGGCAGTGGCAATGCCCTGGGCTTAGAGTAAGACAGAAGCTAGTGGAGCCCAGATTTAGAGTCCAGAATCTCCCATTGTATCTGTGCCAGCCCCATAAAAAGAGAATTTTTGTTTTGTTTGTGCTACAACAGAAGAGGATAAGGCTGAAACCCAACCTGCCACCAGAACTGGCTGCGCCAGGCTCTAAATCTTCCCCAGCCCAGTGCCAGTCACAGAGCCCATGATGCACATGGGAAGAAACACAACGCCCAAAGCAAACAACACTTCTGCACCCTGTGCTGGGGTCGACACTCACTCAGCATATGGCTCTGTGGCAGCGAGGATGGCACCGAGGAGGAGAGCGGCCTGGGAGGAATTATGGAATCATAGAATCATTCAGACCTCTTGCATCCCAAGCCCAATCCCAACCCATCCCACCATGCCCACCAACCCACGTCCCTCAGTGCCACTTCTCCATGGTTCTGGAGCACCTCCAGGGATGGTGACCCCACCACTCCCCTGGGCAGCAGTGCCAGTGCCCAACTGTTCTTTCAGAGATGAAATTGTCCCTGATATGCAGTAAAGGAGAGCAGGTGGACATCAGCCCCAAACCCTGCTTAAAGCCCTGTTGGTTTGGAGCCATTTATCAATGCTCAGTGACTCACCAATGCTGCCTGCATGAGGGCAACAGGAAATCCTGCAACAAAATGAAATGGTGTTGTGAAAAGTTCAGCAGTGTGCATACAGGGGCTGTGCTGGAGCAGCTCCAGCTTTCAGCCTGGGGAAGTTTTCTTTGTCAATTGAATAACATTTGGTAAATGCTGTGTGAAGAGCGGAGAGCGGAGTTTTTAACCACCCTGCAGCCCAACCTGGACACCATGGAGATGAGCTTAGAAGGAGAGCAGTGATGCCCCAGAGCTGGAAGAAGTGTGTGTGCCCATTCCCAGCACAGTGTCAGCTGTGGGCTGGGAACAGGTCTGGGGGCAGAGGGACTCACGGAGGGTAGGGGCTGCCCACACCATGCTGCCTGTGCTGGGAGTCTGGTGCTGGGTGCCTCCTTGTGCTGCTGGAGCTGGAGCTGAGCCTGGTGCTGCCCACGCAGGTTGCTGAGTCCTGCAGAGCAGAGGACAGGCTTCACTCCATGCCCATTGATAACGTGGGCTCTGTGATGAGTTCTCTCGCCCTGGGACCCCTCAGATGCACACCAATAGAATGGTGAGCAGTTCCACCAGGGGTGCATCCCCTGTACCCTAACCCCCCTGTTATATACCCCCCTAGCAAATAAATCCTTGCTCCAGAACCCAGATCACCACGATGCAGAACAATTGGGGTCATTGCAAATCATTTCCCCACTAAGTTCCATCCCTTTCCACCATCCCACCCAGCTCTGGCCACCCTCTGCCCATGGCTTTGTCACCTACCTGCACCTGCAGTCGCCTGCAGCCAGGGATGAGCAGAGGGAGCAGAGCAGCACGGCCCTTATCTATGTGGGGTGGGGATGGGGCTGCAGGATGGGGTGTGACGGAAGCAGTTTCTCAACTCTGTTTTGTAAAGCCTCTCTCTCTCTCTTTTTTTTTTTAATGTAAAGGGTCACTTTGAACTTGGAGGCCAGGGAATGACAGCTGCTGGTTCTGCAGCTCCTCATGAGGACAGAGTGCCCCCCAGCCAGTGAGAGCCCTTTGAGTTACCTGGGAATGCATCTCATGGGCAGTCTGTTCCCTTCCTTACGGTTTTGTGAGTGCCTGTTGTGATGCCATCCAGCACATACTGGGAGAGAAAGGATTTAAAAATAAGGAAGGGAGACCAAGGGGACGCAGCACAAATCCAGATGGTGACGATGATGCTGGGAACCCAATGTGTGCTGTGTGCCTTGTGCTGAGCCCTGGCAGGAGAGAGCTGGGGGACAGCAATGTGGGAGCTCTGCCAGTCTCTCGCCCTTGTTCTGGGGTGCCACTGAGGGGTGGCAGCCACAGGCACCCTACTCAGAGCTCACACCCAGCCCCAAAACTGCCTTAGGGTCCATCACAGGAAGTGGCCCCTGGTATTTTCTGGGGGTCCTTTGGATGTTGGTGGCAGTGAGGTGGGGACACTGCATGCCACCCAGCTGTGGGGATGCTCCTGGGCAGCTGCTGTGTAACCCTAAAACCTTCACAGCCTGAAGGATGCACACAAACCCTTTGTTCTTTGTTTTTCCACCCATGCCAACCTCAGCAATGGTGTTAAAATGCCATTAAGAAATGGTGCCTGTCCCTACAGCCACAGGGACATGCAGGGCTGCACTGCTCCCACCCATCCTCATCAGAGAGCTCTGAACTCTGCAGGAATTTGGAGAAAGTTTTCCTCCACCTCTGCTGCTTTGTTTTGGAACAGTCCCAGCCGCTGGCGCTGTCACTGCCCTCTGGCTGACATCAAGGTATGGCTTTGGTGCTGTGCTGTCAGGGGAGGAGAGGGGCTGAGCCCCCCCAAGGCATGCACACAGAGGGGATGGAGTATTGGGTGACATCTGAAGCCCCAACCCTCACCCACCTCATGGCCTCAGGGACTTGGGAGCTCAACCAATGCCAATGTCAAGGGAAGTATGAACAGGGTGGAATCGGGGTAATGGGGATGGAAAATGTCCCCAGGGCAGAACTGCGTAAGAGAGGACCATGAACCCTGTGGGGACACAGCATGGGACAGGTGAGAGGTGACCGAGGTTTGGGGAAGGGCTGCGCTGTGGCATCTGCCCCAGCTGCCCCACAAACCTTCACTACCAGCACGGGGTCACCGATCAGGATGGCTGTGGGATGGATGACCCTGCTGGTTTCAGCTGTGGGGTTTCAGCTGGATAAGGATGAGAGTGTGATGATGACACAACAGGTTGGGTTGGCCGAGTTGGAGTGTGGGGCTGTCTTGCTGGACTGGTTCGGGCTCATTCCTACCAGCCCCAGTCCGTGGCATTGCATTGGCCCCACAGTGACTGGGGCAGCACTGAGAGAAGGAAGAACCACAGAGTAAGAGTATCAGGAAGAGATGGTTTACTATGGCAATGCCCACAAATACACAATAAATAAGGGTTGTTACCAGGGGTACAGAAGACCACGAAACACACAAATACCCAAACATGACCCCTCCCAAGCTTTCACGTGCACAAAGTGGATCTACACAAAATGCAGCGATCGCCGCGTGGAGGTGACGTGGGCAGCGCAGCCCCGTGGGCAATAGCTTTAGGGTTGGCTCCTGCAATATCGCTCAAAGTGCAACACAGTGCGGGATTGTGGGACGCAGTGCTCTGGCTGTGACCATCCCCATGGCACAGTGTCCACACGCTGCCATGGCAGTTGAGGGCACAGTGTCCCCAGCGTGTGGCTGCAGCCACATGCGGATGTTCCTGCACAGATGGGGCGCATCCCAGCTCTGATGCAGCAAATGTCACCCGTAATCTTTCGGCCTTTCGGCACATCCCTGACAGTAATTCTTTGGCAAACACTCAGTGCTGTTAATTTACAGCTTCGGGAGTGCCTGTGGCTGCCTGCACTCCCTGGGCACACCTGGAGGTGGGGATGGGCCCTGGTGGGGAGGAGCCAGCCCTGCTGATCCCCAGAGCCCCTGCCACCCCTGTCTGTCCTCTGATCCATCTCAGCAGAGCTGCCTCCACACCTAGGAAAAAAGGGAGATGCTAGTAAAAGGAGAATCTATTTAAAAAAGCGTGGGGATGCTGGCTGCTTTAAAACAAGGTAAGTACTAAAAATACGTGCATCTCTGGGACCATCAGAACTGCTAAAAGACGAGATTCGTTCCATAGAAATCTGAAAAAAAGCTTTAAAATCTCTTCATACCAATTTGCTCATCTTCAACAAACCTTTAAAAACAAGTAGATGGGTGGCGAGGCTGTGCCGCAGTCCCAGCTCACGGGCAATAAGCAAGGAGGGGTCATCCCACCTCCTGCACTGAGGACTGCGGTGGGATGGAGCAGTGGACACAGAGCCCACAGAGGGCACACTGAGCACCCGAGTGCTGTGGGACTGTGGGTGCATCCAGCACGCTCACGGCACAGCCGCGCTGCCCCGGCACAGGGACGCAAAGCTCCAGGGTCACTCTAAGCTGGTGCGTGGCACACTGACTGCTGCTGTGGCACACAATTAGGAAAGGGGCATCCGGTGGCCAAGTGGGTGATGGGCACGGTAAAAAAAGAAACCGATCCGAATTGCTGCTAAAAACTGCCTAATCCCAGACCCAGAGGTGAGGGAAACCACAACCTATGGAGAGTGTGGATGTGGAGTTAGTGCTGGGCTCTGGGGTAGGCTGCCAGAACCCATCAGACAACTATGGAGCAAAGGGTTGGGAATGCGTGGAAATGGCCGGCGCTCACTCCAGAGCCCACTCAGCCAACCACTGCTCACACTGCACACGCTGCTCCTCCAGCTCCAGGCTCTTGGCTTTGCTCAGTGCCTCCTCTTCTTTGTCCCCAGGCACAGCTTGCTGGCTTTGCCCTATGTCCCCCTTCTGCACTGCCTTGTCCTTCAGCTCCTGGATGGTCTCGTCCAGGCGGCGCACAATGTGCTGCGGCACCCAGTTGCCATCCATGGCTGTGACAAAGGGGTCAGGCGTGCAGACCTCGATGAGCTCCTTGCTGGTGGGGATGCGCAGGTAGTAGGCGTGCAGCATCATGCGGTATGGACCGCTGTCCTTCTTGTGGCTGTACGTAAAGTCCCCCACGATGGCGTGGCCGATGGCACTGCAGTGAACCCGGAGCTGATGGGTGCGCCCTGGGAGGGAGCAGTAACTGGGGCTACAGGGTTTCACCAAATCCCCCCTTGGCATCCCCATGATGGTCCCTCTAATTGGTGTCTCTCCAATTGGAGAACTCAAGTCCATGAGCTCAGCTTCAGTCAGCCCCTCCTGGACTGCTTTGCACCACCAATATCCAGGGCTGCAAGCACAGATCCCACCCTGCGCTATGGACACATGCACCACGTGAGCCCCCCCCAGAGCCCCACCTGTCAGCGGCTGCAGCAGTACTTTGGTCACAGGATCTCCGCTGTAAGACCCGTGCTCGAGCACAATCAGCTCCGACTGACACGGCTTGGGGTTTTCACAGCCTGCAACAAGATCCAGGGGTCAGCCCTGCCCAGCTCCCCGGGTTCAAGCAGGGCGTGCGTGCTGCTCACCCTCTGTCCCCTCAATGCACATCATGTGGGTCATGCCCTCCACTGTGTTCTTGCCGATGGCATAGCGGATCGTCATGTGACTCTGGTCAACGTGACCCCTCACCTACAGGAGACAAAACTGGATTGCAGGGCAAGCCCAGGCTCACTCCCTTCCACACCCCAGCTTGTACGGGTAGCGCTGAGCTCACCAGGGCCAAGTAGGCTTTGGTCACCAGGCGGTCCTTGAAGCACTTGTAGGCGCTTCCTGCCGCCGCTTTGTTGAGCGCGACGCAGAGGGCCCCGCTGGTGGAAAAGTCGAGCTGGTGGCAGAACCTGGAGCAGAGGGACGTGAGGGAGCACCGCGGCCGCTCGGCCACCGATGCACGGCCCGGCCCGCGGCTGGGGGCTCACCTGAAGCCGTAGTATGTGTCGGGGTCTGCCAGCTCGGGGAAGCGGTGCTTCAACTGGCTCTGCAGGGTCAGCGTCTCGTACCACATCTTGCTGTCGATGCGGATGTCCCAGTGCTTGTTCACCACGATGAAGTCAGGGCTCTGGTACAGGATGCAGAGGTTGTCGATGGTGCCCGGCTCCATGGCGAGCGCCCTGCGGGGACAGCGGCGGGGCTGGGGCCGGATGGGCCGGGGCTGACCGCGCATCGCAGCCCCGCATCGCTCGCTCCCGCGGCCCCGCGCAGCCCCCCCGGAGCCCCACGCCCCGGCCCCGCTCCTGGCCCACCTACGGCGCGGCCCCGGCTCCGCCGGGCGGAGCGCAGCGGCCGCAACGCGTCACCTCGGCGCCAGCCGCGGATCGCCCCGCAGCCAATCAGCGCGTCCACCGCTTGCTGACCTTCTCCTCGCATCCAATCAGCGCGCACGCAGCTTGCTGAGCCGCGCCCCGCAGCCAATCAGCGTTAGCCCTTCCGATCGGCGCGGCGGGCGGAAGCTCGGGCTCGCGGGGTGGCTCCGGTGCGCGGCGCGGCTGATGGAGAGCCCTGGGGACGAGGATGACTTCAACGAGCGGTTCGCCGCCGAGCTGGAGGTGCTGGCCGAGCTGGAAGGTGCGCGGGGGGGCCAGGCCTGTTCGATGGGAGCGGGTGGGCGCAGCCGGGGGTTGGGGTCATGCGCTGCTGCCGGGGGGAGCCACGGGGGAGGGCCGGGAGCTGTGCCGAGCGGCTCGGAGAGGAGGCGGCTCGGGGATCCCACCCGTGGCTGTAAGTGTGGAACCAGGCTCTGTTCGGTGGTGAGAACGGAAGCGCTGGGAACGAACCGGAGTGCAGGAGGTCCCATCAGGCAGCAGTGCTGTGCTGTGCGAGTGGGGAAGCACAGGGACCCAGGGAGGCTGTGGGTTCTTCTTGAAGATCTAACTATAACCCTTACCCTAAGCCCACCTGGCCCCCTGCTCTGATTGTCTCTGCTGCAGTAGGGTGGCACTGAAGGCACCCGGTGGTCCCTTCCCACCTCTGCCACCCTGCACTCCCTTCCAGATTACCCATCCCCTCCCGGCCCCAAAGTCTCCAAGTTCCGCAGCAGGAAGCAGCCACAGGAGGAGGCTGGCCTGGCTGTGGGACCCAGTGCCAGGAAGAGGAGCCAGGAATGTGCCCTGCACTCATCCCCACTGCCCTCACTGCCTGCAGAGTCCCCTGTGGCCCTCAGTAAGGTTTTGCTGCACTGGTGATGTGAGCACTCTGTGGCTCCCTGCTGCATCCCAGCTTGCTCTGGGCTTTGCTCTGTGCCGTGTCTCTCATCTTTCTCCCACCTCTGTGTCTTGCGCAGCTCCAAAGCCAAAAAGGCAGCGGCTGGAAGCTGTGAAGAAGCTGAACTTTGGTGGGAATGGTGAGCTGGACGCAGATGTCCTCCAGGATGCTGTCACGCTTGTGCCTGGCTCAGCGTCACCCCGTGGTCCCCGTGCTGCCAGGTTGGCCCTGTGTCTCTGTGTCACTGAGCTTAACATCTGCCTACCGATGCTGCGGGATCTCCATGGATGGGGTTTGATTGCTCCTTCTCTCACCCTCTGATGAAATAGCCTGGCATTTCCCAGCCCAGAGCTGGAGGTGAGCGGCCTGGGTCCCCTGCAGAGCTCACCACCCACTGAGAACCCAAAGCGTGTCCTCAAGCGCCCGCCTGTCCTGGGGGACTACATCAATGTGACATCCAGTGAGGGCACCAGGGTCTTCATGGCAGTAAAGGACGATCCCTCCCAGATAGGGATGGAGGTGAGGGGACCTCCATCCAGTTCAGGAGCTCTGATGGTACGTGAAACATGTACTGAACATCAGCACTCCTCTGTTCCTCACAGCTCTGTGATTCTGTGGGCTGGAACCGGCCACTCCATCTGCTGGGAGTCCCCTTCTCCTACCTGAAGGAACAAGTGTATGAAGAGGTATTGCTCCTTCCTGACAGCCCCTGGCCCCACTCACCCATCATCACGGGTTGGTGGGGCGTTCCTCACCCCTCTCACCCTATTTGTGCCCCAGCATCGGAGGAGAGCTGTGGAAGCATCACAGCAGTTGATGGAGATAATAAACAGGTGAGGTCTGGGCAGCTCCTGTCCTCACCACGCTCTCGGTTGTGAGATGCTGCAGTGGGTCTGGATGTGGGATCCATATCTGCCTGCAGCATTCTTGCCTGGAAGACATGGGGTGAGCTTCCAGCTCTGCCTCCTTCTGCCACATGGCTTGTGTTCACACTTTTAGCTCCTTGGAGACCGGTGATGAGGCCACAGTGCAGCCTGGGGACATGATTGAGGAGGAGCCTACTCCCCATTGCCTCTGGGTGGACAAGTTTGCTCCCCGGCGCTACATAGAGCTGCTCAGTGATGATGTGAGCTGCTGGGGTCAGCAGGGTTTGGGGGGATGTTTGCTTTATTCCTTAATGCTGTGGGTGGTTGGGTTGGGTTTGCCATTTCATCCAGCCCTTGGCCCAGAACCTTGTGAGGTTCATTGGTGATGGCTCTTATTCTTGTTTGCTGCTCAGTACACAAACCGCTGCCTGCTGAAGTGGCTGAAGCTTTGGGACACAGTGGTGTTTGGTAAGGAGAAGCCCGTGAAGAAGGCAAAGCCTGGTGCTGAGGCTCACCCCTCGTTCAAGCAGCCCAAGGAGCCGCAGAACAAGTGGAAAACAAAGGCACAGCTCACAGAGGAGATCCTGGAGGCTGAGCTGGACCAGCACAAGAGACCCAAGTACAAGGTGAGCGGGGCAGGGCACAGAGCACATCCACGTAGTGTCTCCCAGACCCCAGCACTGGAGAGGAGCAGTGTCTGTCCTTTCTCTTCCAGTACAGATCCAGGAGAAATCTTCTTCCATGTCTTCCATTTAAAAATACGCTGTGTTTTTTTATTGTTGTTTTTTGTTTAATCTTTTGTTTCAGTTGAGTAATATGTTAACCATGTGTAGCAGAAATGCTAAGTCATAGCCTGAAACAGTGATTGAGCACCTGGTGGGAAGGCAGGGCCAACCCAGGAGAGCTCAGGTGCATGCAATGTACCTGAGTGACTGGAAGGGGTAGAGCCAGGATCCACCCCCTTCCAAGGCTTCATTTAAGGGTTGGCAGTGGTGGTGAGGATATCTGTTGCTAGAAGTCCCTACCTCCCTGAGGCCCTTCAAAAGTAAGCAGCTCTTTTCCTTCATTTCTGTATCTGTGGCTTCTGCATTTGGTCTTGTTCTCGTTTGCTGTAGATGAAGGCTTTGCTACCCTGCTGTTATCATCCTATTATAGCATCACACCAGGGGAGAGGAACAGGGCCAGCCATATTAGATGGGCTGGTAGAGAAGAGAAGCCCCAGCCTGTCAGAGGTTGGACTTGACTTCATTCACTATGGACAAACATGGTATGGCTTTGGGCAAGTGCTTCTGCACTCAGAAAAGAGCAGGAATGCTGAAAGAGCAAAAGAAGCAGAGATAACAGGCCATTTTACAGCTTTGCTGCATTTGGTGAAAGATTATTAAAAAAAAAAAACAGGGAAGCAAAAATAGATACTAGGAAGTCTTGTGGGAGTATAATTCTTCAAGGGGTTTTGTGCACCTTTTTCTATTGTCCTATAAATACACAGATAGGCATGAGTGATGCCAGCTGGGACAGCTGTCACTTCTGGGAGCTCCTGCTCTATTTTTCCCTCCCATGGTGACCTTCTCCCAGCATCTCTACAACCAGGGCTAAAGGCAGAGCTGTCCTCCTGGCATTGTGGTTGCTCCATGCCTCCCCATGCCCTCTCTCCCTGCAGGTGGCCCTGCTGTGTGGTCCGCCCGGCCTGGGGAAGACAACACTGGCACATGTCATTGCACAGCATGCAGGGTATAACGTGGTGGAGATGAATGCAAGGTGAGATGAATACCAGCACGACCCTGTGAGGACGGTCACGCTGGGGTGGCACTGAGCTGAGTTGGTGTCCCACAGTGATGACCGCAGCCCGGAGACCTTCAAGACACGCATTGAAGCTGCCACCCAGATGAAGTCAGTGCTGGGTGCTGAAGAGAAACCCAACTGCCTGATCATCGATGAGATCGACGGCGCGCCCACTGTGAGTCCTCACCTGGGCTTATGTCTTTGAATCACAGAGTGGTTGGGTTGGAAGGGACCCCAAAGCCCCCCTGCCATGGGCTGTGTGCTCTTCACCAGCTCAGGTTGCCCTGGGTCTAGCTGTGGCCTGGGGCAACCACGACTCTAGGCAGCCTGTGCCTCCTCTCTATTGATGCAGCCAGGATAACTATTGGCCCATAGTTGGCTTCTCATCCATTGAACTCCCAAGTCCTACCCTGCAGGGCTGCTTCCTATGAATTCTTTTCCTGGGGTTGCCCTGGCCGAAGTGCAGCACCATGTCCTTGGCTGTGTAGAACTTCATTAAGTTCATATGGGCCCATTTCTCAAGTTTACATCTGGCCACCATTTGCTTAATTATTACTCTAAACAGCAAGCACTCGCTTCTGTCCCTTCATTTCTCCCAAGGCCTCCATCACTGTGCTGCTGAACATCATCAATAGCAAGGAACCTGAGGGTGAGGCAGCTGCAAGCGGAGGGCGACGGAGAAGGCGAGAGGGCAGCCTGCTGCTGCGGCCTGTCATCTGCATCTGCAATGACCAGTGCGTGTCAGGAGAGAAGCTGGGACACCTGCCCTAAGGGTGGCTCAGGTGTCATAGAATCTTGGAATGGTTGGGCAGGGAGGAACCTTAAAGATCATAGAGCCATAGGGTGATTGGGTTGGAAGCGACTTTATTAGAACTGTGGAACGATTGGGTTGAAGGGATCCTAAAGATCATAGGACTGTCGGGTGGTTGGCTTGGAAGGGAGTTTGTTAAAGCCATGGACTCGTTGGATTGAAATAGGCCTCGTAGATCGTAAAATCATAGAACCATAGCATGGTTGGGTTGGAAGGGACCTAGCAGCCCCCCCAGCCACAACCCTTTGCCGTAGGCTAGCTGCCCTCCCCTTTTGCCCCACTCCCTCAACCTCAGCTCAGGCTGCCCATCCATGGCCTCAGGCACCTCCAGGGACAGGGAGCCCACAGCTCTAGGCAGCAGCGCCAGCCCTTCACCACCCTCTGTCCCTGTGCCAGGTATGTCCCTGCGCTCCGACCACTGCGGCAGCAGGCATTCCTGCTCAGCTTCCCCCGGACAGCCCCGTCCCGGCTGGCCCAGCGCCTTGGGGAGGTATGGACTAGCCC